TACAGAACGAATTAGTCTCGAACACAATGACAGGATTCATTTTATCTTAATTACATTTCATGCACACTGCATTTTGAAACTATAATTTTGGACAACAAAATTCCTGATGCAACATGTAACATGGAATTTAAATATGGAAATAAAATATAATATACATTTATTCTTTTTTTGCTTTGAGAAGATATACGAAGACATCACGTACGGATATGTTAGAAAATACTATATTATCATATTTTACATCTCTTGTGGGAGTATATGTAATAATAATTTTTTATAAATTTGTATTGTATCGTTTACAACGTTAGTTTTGAGAAAAGATAACGATATAAAGCTTGAAACGGAGGCGAAACTGTACGAAAAGATGCGCGAACAAATTCCCGCGGCGGCTAATTAATGCCTCGACCACAATGGCGGAAAGCGCCGAGGCTCCTCGGCCTTAAAACCAATTTGTTGCCCGCTCTCCGGCTCCTTGTTTCCCCGTCGGAACGGCGCGGCGCGGGTTCGCATTATACTTAGGGCTCCGCTATTATGTTTCCCCGGTTTTGCCGAAACAATACAGCGTGTAAGCGGCCGTCGTGCCGCGTCTCAACGTAATATTACGTCGGCTGATTTATATCGTCCATTCTTGCGACCCGCACTCGCAACATTACGTTCACTCACTAGGCGATCAGGATCATTATGACGTAATAAACGTCCGGGGCGAACACTCTCGATGACGAGAAACAGTTCCGCGTGCAAACATACGCGAGAAAGGAAAGTCGCGCACCAAGTCGACATGTAGGGATCGTGATGTGAAATTCACGATCAAAAATTAAATCGAGGAGAGCCAAAGTAAATATCGATGATAGAATATTTGTGATATTATTTTAATTCTGATCGCAAATAATTATTTTGGAAATTTTGAATACATATCTGTATATTTCGCAAAGCTGCCACACAATTATTAAAGCATACATAACCGTGCGCGCATTAGAAGAACATAAAATTTTTATAAAACACATCTAGGACAAATCATTTGAATCATTTCTGCTTTTTCATTAAATGAAACAAGTGTTTACCGTATTGCAAAGAGCTCTCGCTTACTATCGCTCTCGTTTTAATATTTCCGCGCAATATCGCCGCCATCATTTGCAAAACGCCAGATAGTTTGTATAATGCAACGGCGAAGAGCGCCGTATCTCTTTATATTTGCGCAATATGCTTTCACAGAGTTCTTTTAGGAGCGACGATGACGAGAGAAGCGTTGTGCGGAAAATCAGATTTGGTCGGTGCTAAGCAATTATCATAATTAATATACAATGCAGAAATATTAATATTGATTCAATTCATAGAGTCATTAATTAATAAATTAATTAAAATTGCATGAATGCACGATTCTTTGTATAGGTATTATATATTGCAATATGTTGATAGGACATTGCAATAATAGGATTAACTGAATGTGTGATGTACTGATTATGTCTCAGTGATATATATATTTGCGATAATGATAATTTAACGTAATATAATTAATGTAAAGTGATGCTTATTTATTTCACGATCTGATTAAGGCCCTATCGAATTTTGTTAAGAATTTAATACTAAAGAACGTTAAACATCTTCACAATTTATATATATATATATATATATGATAATGTAATTTAGAAATATTTTATCTAATAAAAAACTTTTTTTTGTTATAATATGATCATGTACGTATTCAAAGAATAACAATTCTTTCTTATTTCAATTAGCATTTCCTCTCCCTCTATCT